TTTTTTTTTTTAAACAATTGACAGCACAAAGCAAAATGTTTTACTTATTTTGGTTCATGTGTGAAAATGAGCATTGGTCAGTGCTTGTTTTTGCTGATTGAACATGGCAAAATTGTGTTTGTTAGGTCTTGGAATGTCTGAGAAGTGACACTATAATCTGGTGTCAGTCGATGTTGGTCTGCGTCTTTCGTTGAAGCTTTTACAAAACAGTCACTGATTAACACTGGACACATTCAGTAGTGGCCCTGTATAATTGGTAGGGCTGCCTCCTAATAGTTGACTTAATGGTAGATTACAAGAAGAGGATTAGTCAAACAAATTTTTATTAGTTGGTTGGTAGCAAAAAAACAAACAAAAAAACTGGGAAGTAGAGAAGTCATGCAGTCTCTGATGGATTCATTTGTTTTTGAATGCTGTTTTAGGTGAATATGATGACAAAAGTTTAGTATAAAGCTTTGTTTACAAAATAAATAATAGGTTAGCAATTAAATGTTACATCGCAGAGATGAAAACATTTGGATTTGTGCCGAATGAGAGAGGTACATGAGCGCATTAATTAAATGTTTTGTGATCTGGTCACTCCATTTTCTACAAATTATATTTCAAAATATTCCATGATTTATTCCGTTGGACATGGAATCTCTTGTTTCTTTTCCCAAATCTTCACTCATTTGCTCTTATGACCTTACACAACAAGTATCAGCTGCTTTGGAACTTTGGGAGAACACACAAAAATGTTAGACAAAAGTTGGTCTCTGTCCTGCTCGTGTCCCAAACCTCTCTGAAAGTGCAGAGCGAAATACATGAGACATTAAATTAACATCATAAACATAAGATTGGTTGACAAATGAATGGCTAATGGTCAACTAGGAAAATCTTTAGTCTGGAACAGCCCTAATGACTGGCACAACATTTTCTTTGGACAAGTTGTGCTTCCTTAATTGATGGAGAAAGTGCATCCTCTGCTGTGCTTCCTTGGTGTGCTTTCTTTTGATTTCTTCTTTAGTTCTTCACCTTCTGCTCTCTGTTGGTGAAAAAGCTTAATGATCCAGTTAAAGATTAGTGTTGGTACAGTAAGCTGACTGAGATTAAAGTGAAGGATGTCCCATGTTCAGTATATCATCCATAGACCTATTTAGTCTTCAGGCAAACTGGAACAGATCCAGCAGCCAGCGTTTAATGACTTTCAGGTATGGTAATAGCATCCTCTCAAAGTGTTTCATAACTACTGAGGTTAAGGCAACTGGTCTGTAGATGTTTAGCCCTGAGATGCAAGCATTCTTGGGAACAGTGATTAAAGTGCTTAAAGCCTGGCGGAACCTCGCTCCGTTATCTGGTCTGCACAGCATTTCAGGCAAGAGGGGGACACCTGGTAAGAGCCAGGGGCATTTCTTTAAGCTTATTGCCATTTGCACAGGTACATTACAGTACAGGTGGGATTCTTGTGCGTTTCTCAGAGTCAGCTTTATAGAAAAATAACGTAGTAAAATAAATAAGTAACATTGCACATTATATGAAGTAGTAAATAAAGTAATATTGCACATTATAATATTATTTCACATTGTAAAGAAAAAAAAACATCTGTTGCCCATTATGGACTATACATAAATAATATTAGATAAATATTCCA